GGGGGCGGAAGCGGCCCCGGTCGCCAGTTAGCTAAGGGAGCTAAGGGAGGTCGGGTAGCTAAGGAAGGTCGGGTCCCGGGTCAGGTTTGGGTGGGGGTGGGGGGTGGGGGGGTGGGTGGGAGGTTTTGGATTCGACGTATGGAGTGCGAGTTGGTGGGTGGAGGGGGAGGACCTGATGAATACACACACACGCACACGCGCGCGCGCGGGGGGGGGCCAGCAACCTAAGCAGCACCTTGAACAAGAGCAACCGAAAAAGGCACAAATGTACGGATGTATTGTACGACAGCGTGCAATGACGGGGACCGTGGGTGATAAGGGAGAGGAGGAGGTGGTGGGCGGGGGGAATCGAAACGTGTGAAACGTGGGCTCGTGGGCTGATTACGTGGATGTATGTCTGTATCTGTACTTATGTGTATGTAATGTATGCATGCATGTATGTATGTATGTATGTATGTATGTATGTATGTATGTATGTATGTATGTATGTATGTATGTATGTATGTATGTATGCGTGCATGTATGCATGCATGTATGTATGTATGACGTTGATTACACTGTGGGCTGAAAAGCCGGGGGCCCAGGGCCGAAGCACAGCGCGGGGGGCGGGTGCATACGGCTGGTTAGTCTCATGCACTCCGCCCCCGGGTCAGGCCGCACGGGAAACGACGGCCGGCACGCAACAGCGCTTGTTTGGCGCTCCAACTAGACGGGATCTATGCCCGTTGGTCTCCTAACATAAACGAAGTCGCAACTGGGGGGCTCTTCCTGCCGACCGAACGAACCGAGCATCTCAGAGAGCTCGCTACCAGGACTTGGGCGACCGGGAGCCCGACGAGTCTTCCCGGGCTGGGGAGGTCACCAAGCTCAAAAATCCTCACGCAAAAAAGAGCGCAAAGAGCTCACACCACAAGACGCCAAACAGCCTCCTGAGACTACTACCCTCCTCCGCCTCTCCCTCCCTGGGCTAGTCCAGGGGAGATAGCCCCCGTCGAGGGGGTAC